TATGTGAATATTCAGAGCAGTCACAAAACACCATGCAGAAGTGAGAGCGCAGAGAAAACAGAAAGCTAGCGCTATTCAAGGGATTGAGTTTCAGTTGTCCGTAGACCTAATGGGATGAAAACAACGTGTCTATCGTTTGGCACGGTATTCTTCGAGCGAAACAAGGCGACTCTCCAGTCTAAAGGCGCCGCCATTATTTGTGACCCCGTTGAGTTACGATAATCACTGACCGTGCAGCTATGTAGCCTTTATTGTGTTTAGTCATTGTCATAGACAAACACACTTCAATACGCACAATCCTCATTATCGGATTACGGTAGCCGTGCGATTAGCGCATTTGTGCAGCCGTACGTGTGCAAACTCGCTTTCAACCTGGTGAAAGTAGAAGTGAATGGTCATCCTTGCAATATTTGCCGCTGTTCGGCTCAGGGGGATTCCACACTTCAGCTCAGTTGCTAGCACTTCTTAAATTGCAAGTTTCACCTTGGAGGTACACTCCTTAACCGCAAGACGGAGTGGGCGTGGCATTCGAGCATGGCATAGAACGGGTTACTCGTTGGCTATTTCAGGTTGAGACAAGTGTCATCTTGGTCAGTGTTGGACAGAGACATGACCACAACTGAGTCAAAATGAAAATATCTCACCAAAGGCACAGCCACCGCCACGTTTGGTTGAAGTACGCAGCCACGCCTACTCCATCTCAGGGATTACGAGGGTACCTGTAGTCCCTTGGCAAATGTAATGTAATGTGAGGTATCGACAGTGATCGATGGGAACCTGCAAAATGCCCCCACCGCGCCCAATATTAAAAAGGGCATACAATCAAAAAAGGAAATATCAGTGAATTGCTCAGAGTTTATCACTTGATAAAGCATCCATCGTTTGGCAGTTATTCATCTACGCTCTATCAGTGCTCGAGGCCTACATACATTCTTTATCCCGAAGTGAGAGCGGCGTGCTAATGTTGAAACTTCACTCGGACAAGCTGAACACACTTTTGACTGGCTCAGGTTCGAACGACTGTACAAGCATCTAGAGAAAGCTTTGCAATGTTCAACACATTGATGTTCCTTCTTTTTTTTATCTTCACAACCAAAAACTTAATGCACAGGCATGTTCCAGAATGCCTCGTGAGCCTGAAGACGTCCTACTCGAAGTTCCGATTGAACCGAGTCGAACACGGCGAATCTACTAAATCGTCGACAGTCTTCGAACCGCCTGCGAATATATCTCCACTACGACGAGTCCGTCCTAAATCTGCCCAGCGAAAAGCAATTGTTTGTAAATGTAGGTTTCATTAGTAAAGTTCGTTTGAATTCAATCAAGGTCACACTCTGTGCAGTCTCAAGTGTGGGGACGTTTACACTGCTGCCACATCATTGCGGACCGGTGGGGCGTGTCAGTGCGGCTGCGTTGGCGCGGTGCCAAAGTCGTTCTGCACCAGTTGTTGAAGCGGGCAAGTGACATTACTGTATTATATCCTTCGTATTACTCGTTTTCTACCACTTTTTGTCGCATACGCGTTTCAACAAAAAAAGCTGAGAACGGCTTCAACAGTGTGCACACTCATTCTGGCTGACACGCCCCACGTTTGGCACCGCGCCAAACGCAGCCGCACTGACACGCCCCACG